TGTCCATTTCCCTGTGACAAGGGCTCTGGTTACAGAATTATTGATTGGTTTTCATGCAGACAGATGGGCCTTTCCTGAGCTTCCATCGAAATCCCTGGCTCTATGGGCTGATCGTTGCCTCTCGGGGTGGAGGACTGCACCCGGAGACCACCCTCCATGCAACCTTCTTTGCCCAGGCTGTGGACGGTAATAAATGGAGGCAGCCTGAACGATAATAAAAGCAATTGAGTAGGTTACCTGTGCAGACACAAGATTTATGCCTCTTCATATTTGATGTGATTGTTTTATTGAGTTCTCAAAATAGTTGGGACACTAGTTAGTTAGTTAGGAGGAGTTTCCCTCTCTTGTAACTAAGGGAACAAAAATGGCTTTTCAAGGGGTGCCTGGGTGGCTCAGTCTTTGGGAGTCTGCCTTTGGCTCGGGTCATGATCTCAGGGTCCCGGGATCGAGCCCCACATCGGGCTCCCTGCTCGGTGGGAAGCCTGCTTCTCCCCTCCCACTCCCTGTGCTTCTGTTCCCTCTCCCACTGTCTGTCTCTCTGTGTCAAATAAATAAGTAAAATCTTTTTTTAAAAATGGCTTTTCAAGGGGCGCCTGGGTGGCTCAGTGGGTTAAGCCTCTGCCTTCGGATCAGGTCATGATCTCAGGGGTCCTGGGATTGAGTCCCGCATCGGGCTCTCTGTTCGGCAGGAAGCCTGCTCCCCCCCCCAACCGCCGCCTGCCTCTCTGCCTACTTGTATTCTCTGTCTGTCAAATAAATAAATAAAATCTTTTTAAAAAAAATGGCTTTTCAAGAGGACAGCTCCAGCTCATTTGAAGAAGTAAGATCAACAGTCGTACCCAGTTCCCATGTTAGTCTAGTGATGGGTGATCTAGGCAGCAGGAGAGCCTTCTCTGGGGAAGGATGGGTGAACAAGCCTCTTCAGACAGAATCTGGTGCATCTGCTTGCTCTTTGTGGCCCCCAGTCTGGTAGGCCCCGGGCCACAGAAGGCAAGTTCTCTGTCCTTATTTCTCCTCCTCCTCTAAGGACAGAGCCTCCTTCTTAGTCCACCAACTTGCCTTGGCTCTTTGCCATGAGACCAACAGCCCAACAGCTACAAGGGCATGGAGATGTGGCAGGTAAAGCCACCCTTCTGGCCCAGATTCATGCCAAGCCAGGTCTAAGAGTCTAAGAGTCAAATGTGCAATGTTCTAGAACCTGAGTTTCAGAGAAAGAGACATAAACTCCAGCCCTGAACATATCTTCAGCATTCCCAGCTTCTTTGGATTGGCCTTCCAATGAACAGCTGACCCACTACTGTCACCCCACTGCCAGACCTCTGATGAGGCCCTCGAATGACACAGGATGGAATCCTTGCATAACACCGGGGCTGCAGCCTGGAAGCCAGTGTTGTCACCACTGGGAAAATGAACATGCTTACTTAGAGCCAAACAGGCTGAGGGAGAGCGTGGGTAGCAGGTGATCAGTGAGAAACTGACTCTGGAAGAGTCCACTCCAAAGATCTAGGGGCAGGGAAGGCCCTGATCCCAAGAGTGTAGGGCAGGCTGGAAAAGTTAAGAGAGCAATGGCCTTTCCGTTGGCTCATTCTAAGAGATCCCCCTCGGGGGATCCTTGGTAACGCTAGACTCTACCTGGAGTTTGTACTGATTCTTTCAAAGGAACTCTAATCTCTGCCCACAGCAACGGCCAAATCAGAAGACGCTGGCATATAAACAGGAAATCCCTTCTGGCCTGGTCAGTTGCTCAGCGACATAACTGGGTGACTTTTTCCCCCTTCAGTAGCATGGATCTCCCTCCATCTCTTCCCGCCCCGCCCCCAGGCCATTTCCCCCACCAGGTTTCAGTCTCAAGTCACCTGTTTATAAACCTCGGTCCACTACAGGGACGGCAATTAAGCTGAGAGGCGGGCAACTCCATGCTTAGCGGTCAGTAATCCAATATCGAGACTGAGTCACAGAAATTCCACAGACTAAGCAATCCAGTCATCCCCCTGGATTTTCAACAGTGGTCTCTAGAGACAGGAGTGTGTTTGGGAGGCATCCCTGACCCACTCCGCTGACTCAGAGAGGTATTTCTCTGAGGATTTACCAGTGGAGTACGTGGACGGGATGTCCAAGCCTTTATCACGACAGGATCAGAGAAAATCAAAACCAATTTTAAGGCATGGAGGCAATTTCGTTTATAACCACAGCAGCACATTTCAAGTGTGGCAACAACATCTGTTTTGGGAGGAGAAGACGAAAAAAAAAAAACAACTCACAATTTGGCTCAGGTGGGTGAACGTGTGTGGACTTCCTTTTTTGCCAGCCACCGGCACACACACACACCCTTACGACGGTTAAAAGTACCAAAGACAAGTGGGCATCGCACCAACAGTAAGGCCCTATACTCAAGAACCACCCGGAGGCACCACACTTCCTGCACAGAGGAAAATCTCCAGACCCTTCCTATAGTGAGTAAAAATTTACAAAGTTCCTGAAATCACCAATGCTGACAGAAACATCCCGCCTTTATCAGGCTTCAGGGTGAAACTAAATCTCAGATAAACCTTTCCCCCTTCAGAGCCAAGCACCCACAGGGATGAAGCCGAGGACATGCGGGCCTAGACACATCCCTCCAGCCCCAACTCAGCAGCACAAGGGGAAGCCCTCAGAATTCTTTCCCAAATTGGAACCATGGTGGGACACTGTCCCAGAGCGAAATCAAGAATACCTTGACTGCTCCTTGTCGGCAAAGCAAGCCGGGAAGCCTAGTCACAGACCCAGGGCTGGCTCTCCATGCTGCCAGTGGCTTCCCTGTTCCTCTCTTCCCACTCCCTCTCCATCTCCAGCAACAGCTGCCCATGGAGGGCCATTTCTACACACCCAAAGGAAGCCTTGGTGCCCCTCAGGTGGTGGGGTTCCACGTGATGAGCAGATTCCATAGCTGTCATCATTACCAAGCTGAGGCCGTTCTTTTCCTACTCCCTACCCACCCCTCTGCTTTCCCCCAGGGCTGGGGAGTGCACCCCCAGGCTTCTGAGATCAATCCTGGGGTCACCTGTTCCCTGCTTTCTGTGGCTTTTCAGAATGAGCTTTCCCAAACTCCTGCATGAGTCAGGTCCCCAAAACATCTGAGCCAGTGAAGGTGTACGTTGGGGAGAGGAAGGGCAGAGTTCTAGGCAGTGGGGGCATGGGAGGTAAGGGATGCTGGCCCCAGAAGTGCCTTGATTTTTCCAGTCCTCCAGCCGTCAAGAAAAACAGACCACCTTAACTGTGCATGTCTTGGGGTCCTCCAAAGCCTTGCAAATCCTACCACTGATGACAAGCATTTCTCTTGATTGTCCCCCAGGACCCCAGCGCCCAGTCCCATCAACATCGTTCCTCATCATGCAGATCTCTGTGCCAGCTCGCTCCCACGACCAGCAGACAGCCAAGAGGCTGAATCTCCAGATGGCTCAGAAAACAAATGCTTCGTCCCCTGCCCTTTCCTAACCACCAATCCTGTCCCAGCCCCAGAGCTTCCCCAGCCTCCTCTGGCTTTTAAATGCAAAAGACACATTCCGCTCCCAAACCACCCAGAGTCTTAATCCAGCTCCTTCGAAGGTGTCTGAATGTCAAACCGCTATGCTTTCAGTACCTAGCGAGCCAGGCCCGGGGAGCTGGAGGGTTTTCGGAGGGTGTATAATTAGCTGATCAGTATTATGTTACCCTGTTCATAACTGAATAACCATTTTAATACAGATGGCACACACTGGGATAATTTCTGGGGTCGCCTCGCAGTACGTTACAGCACGAGTGTGGCAGAGGGAATCTTCTTTAGCCAAGGTACATTCTACCAGCTAATTTTACCTGCTGTTTTCAGGATGATTTGGGATAATTCCATATCATTTGCAAAATATTTTAAAAAAAAACTTGATACGTGATGCCAGTTTCAGAAAAAGGCACCATCTGAATTATTAGTTGTCCTGATAATGAGTCTATGAAGAATACAAAGAATAACAAGGGTATGAAACCCTCAGCCTTCTTCTCACTTGGGAAGCTGCCCTAAAATGGGGGGCAGGGGTTGAAAGGTTGGCCAAGCTGTCTGGAACTTGTACAGGGTCTCTGCTGATGTCAGATAGTACAGTTCTGCGATGCTGAAGCCATCCTGGGTACCTGCATCCCACTGCTCCTTGTGCCTGCTCTAGCTGACACAGGCCTAATTTGCACACCTGCACGGTGTGTACACACGTGGAGCGTCCATGCGTACTGTCCCAGAGAGCAGGCTGGAGTGGCTTGGGGAGTGGGAGGCTACCTTGCACAACTCCAGCCTGTGTCGGCCCATGTGCCTGAGCCTGTCACTGCGCAGACCTCTCCCTAGCCCTACGCATCCCAAAGTGGAGCCTGGGGGTCTAGAGCTCTCCCTGCCTGCCTGGTGTCCCACTCCATGTCCAGCTCCTCTGCTCCCTGCCAATTGCTGGCTGGTGGCTAGCGTTTGCTCTCAGGCCTGGACACTCGTGTTTATAGGCCGGAAATCTGTGCGGAGCTGGCTAGCAAGGCCTGGGCTCCTGGGAGGCAAGCTTTGTGGGAGTTGGCAGGGAGGGTGGGGAAGCCAGGACAGGCGGCTGCCCCTGGGGAAGGGAGCATGCCTTTAGAAAGGGAAGTCTGTTTGGAAGCGATGAATAGACACTGGTCATTTTAAAGGCTTTCAGCTTAGGCTGTGATTGTCTCTAGATACCGAGGCACGTAATCTTGGAGTCTTAATTACCACAAACACTTGGATTCATTTCCAGGACGCCGGCGGGAGAAGCCTGGCAGGGAATACCCAGCCCTGAGCTGGAGACAGCTCTGTCTGTCTGTCTGTCTCTCTGCCTCCCAGGTCTCCTCTCCCTGCCCGAAGGACTTCAGGACTTCGGGGGCTGAGAGCCTGGAGCGCAGGCAGGGGCCGGAGAAAGAACAGAGACCACAAGCTGGGAGACACCCTGATGGGCAGGAGCTGGGAGCTGGAGTCCCGCCCTGTAGAAGGCTGGTTTGCTCACCTGTTGATGGAAGAGACGCTGGGCACGGTGTCATTGTCGCAGATGCCCTCAGCCAGGAGCCGGTCTCGGATCTCCCAGGCGAACATGGTGGGGTTCTGTCGCTTGTATTCAGCAATCTTGTCCACCACTTTGGGCGTCGCCACTTTGGGCTTGGAACCTCCAATCACTCCGGGCTTGATGCTGCCGGTCTCATAGTACCTGCGCCGGGAAGGCCGGCGGGGTCAGCGAGAACAGGCCATGGCAGGGGGCAGGGAGGCTGCAGGCTTCAGGGCGGTGGAGCCACGCTCCCACCCGAGGCAGCAGCGTGGAGGGAAAAGACTCAGCCTGGCTGAGCCAGCTTCCAGAGGGTGTGCTTGGCTGGGGCGAGGGATGGACCGAAGGAGGAAGGGGAGGATGAGAGGGACACTCCCTCCAGGAAGACAGTCATGCTGGGGACTGAGAGCAGAGCACACCAGCGGGAATAGGTGCCCCTGGGAGTTTGAAAGCCCGGCCTTTTATTTAGAAAGAACAGGAGGAACAGCAAGATTCCAGGCCTCCAGGCCTCCAGGCCCACCAGGGCTGAGGCCCCCACCTCCAGCCCTTTCCTACTGAGCATGGAGCCCTGGTGAGAACCAGGACCCTCCTGTCCCCTCCCCAGCGCTGATTTTTACTTTCCTCTTGGGGACCCATTTATGCTCCCCACCCTGTTCCTCTGAGCCCCCCAGTCTGCATGAACTCTGCTTGGAGAGGACTCCCTCCCTGTCTGAAGTCTGGGATCCGGCAGCCTCTTCTCAAGAACCCTAAAGCTGGGCAGGAGCTGAGTGACCCTTCTCCACCCTTACTCCTGGGCCCGTGGCCACCACCTGAGTACTCTCTCCAAAAGGAGCAGCTCTCTAGCTTCCCCCCAGTATCCAGATACCCCGTCTCCCACTGGCATCCTGGACTTTGAGCCAAGTCCTTGGTCTGGAGACCCAGGCCCTCGGGCTGAGGAGGCAAGGCTTCTCCCAGGGGTGGCTCTGAGGCCCTCACCTGCCCAGGATTTTGCTGACACAGCCGTGGCTGACCCGCAGCTGCCGGGATATGTCGCAAGGCCGCACCCCCTGGTGGGCCAGCTCCACGATGCGCTGCCTCACCACGTCGGGCAGGGGCCGGCCGTTCACAAACACCCCCCCGAGCTGGTTCACACCCCCGTGCCCTGCTGGGGAGAGACAAGAAAAAAAACACAACACCCCACACACAGCAGGGACCGGCCATTAGTCAGGGTCCGCGGCCCAGGACGTGCAAAGGGAGTAGGCAGGGCGGAGGGGCATGATCTGGGACGCGCAGCAGAACGGTGGTCTGCCGCTGCCGAGCAATGCAGGGCGACTGGGGATTGAAACCCACGGGCCGGGCCGTAGAGACGCAGAAACGCAGACGCAGGGCTGAGAGCAGGGAAGAACACGGCTCTAAGACCAGCACCTCTCAAGGGAGAAAGTGAATAGAGAAGCAGGGTGAGAAGAGGGCAGAGGGGGAATTAGTGCCAGCAGGAAAGAATGTAGGAGAGGAAAAGAAGGGCGGAGCAGAGAGCAGAAGCAGGGCCAAGCGGATCCCGCCTGAGCCGCAAGCAAGGGGGAGTCGTTGGTGTGTGTTAGGGCTTGGAGGCAGATAACTTGGGGCGTGGGGTCTGGGACCGATTGACTCAATACAAAAGGGCTCTGAGCAGAGAGAGGGGCTAAATGTCTGACTCCCTCCTTTTGCTCCCTACCTCTTGTATCTATTTTTAATCAGAGTTGGTGTTCCTGCCTCCTTCCCTGTGTTTTTGTTTTTGTTTTATTCTGGCTTTCGATCGGGATTTTTTCTTTCCTTTATGTTTTCTATCTTTAGATATTTCGAGGTCATATTTCCCACTTGAATCCCTAGTGTCTAAAGTTCAAAGAAAGCCAGGTGGAGGACGGAAGGCTGAAGACGCAGGGGTCCGGTGTCCATGCTCAGAGCCGGGGAAGCAGCCGGTTGCCGCGCGGGGCTCCCATGGGCAGCAGCCAGAGAATACAGGCTGCCGCCCTGAGCCAGGCTTGGAAGCCACTGCCTCACCTAGGTAGCATGGTGCAGGTCGCCTAGACAGGCTGAGGGCTCACAGGACACCCCGTGCTGTCAGCCAGAGCCAGCTCCCGTCCCTCCGACCTCTTAGACCTCGGCAACCTCCCAGGACACCACGAAGCAAGGGCATTTGCTCTCCTGGCCAGGAGGAGGGCGCAGGGTCTCCAGCGGGGTCCTCCAACCTCGGAGCCAAAGTGGTCACCAGATATCAGGCCCGAGGATGCTGCGCAGCGCCCCATTCTCCCTGGCCTACAGCAGTCTAGAAATCCTGCACCCAGAGCAATCACCCAGAGCCGCAGTTCCTGAGCAATCCAAGCGCAGAGTTCTAGTGGCGGGCCTGACTTGGCCAGGAACCTGCAGCCCGGGTCCTGCTGGCTTCAGGCGACTTTCGGAGAAAGCGGGAACATCTGGGTTCAGCTCATTTCTTTCCCATCCCCTCCTGGGGGTACTGAGAGCAAGGGCCGGTGAAACCCCTGGGGAGAGGCTTCCGATCTGCAGGCTGGGGGAGGCTAGAACCTCTTATTTTTGCCTCTCATTCCCGCTACTCTTCCTACCTCTAGCCCCACTCCTCACCCCTCCCTTCCCTCCAAACCCCGACCATCAATAATTTAGGCCCCGGGAGAACTCGCGTTACCGGTATGAAAAGGCGGCAGCTGCGGGCAGATTAAAGATGAATAATTCAGCCTCCCCCGGGCTCCGGGCCCGGCCCCTCGTCCCCAATCTAACGGAAGGGGATGGGAAGGGGCCCGACAGGAGTCCAGGGCCTCGGGCCGGGAGCCGCCCCTCAGTCGGGCCTGGAATGCGCCACTGCCGCCGGCGCGGACTCGGGCTGCTGCTGCTTGCTGGCCCGCCCGCCCGCGCCGCGCTCTCTCCCTTCCTCCGACCACCTTCAGCACGCCTTGCCCCCTTTTGGGTTTCAAAGTGACACCCAGTGGGCGGCTGGGACTCAGCAAATCCCCCACGGAATCGGCCAAAGAGCGAGAGCAGAGGCGGCCGGGCAGGGAGGCCGGCGGGCTGGGCGAAGACTGCGAGAGGACCCGGTTCCACTCGCTCGGAAAAGGAGACAGGATTTCTGGCTCAGCTGGTGGAGACCAGCGGCGGCCGGAGGCTCCTGACTCGGATTACCTGTACTTGGAAATTATTTTTAAAAATATATTTTACCCCAGGAGTATTTTTTTTTTAAGCTCACCCCTGTAATGCTAATTATAAGCTTAGAGAAAAACAGAGGTCTTCCTCCTTGGCTCTCTTTTCTGGAGCACTGATCCAAGCCAGGGCTAAAAAAGTTTCCCGGTGAAAAGTTACAAATCATCCTCAATTATTAATCTACAGAGGAGAAGTTTTCTATTTAGAATCTATTTATCTAAAAAAAAAAAAAAAGACTGCCAAAAAAAAACTCTGAATTGTTCTCCAAGCTAAAGACATAGGACATGAATTAGATAAATTCAAATTTCATTAAAATAATTTCCTCTTTTCCTCTTTTTTCATTTTTTCTCCCCTTCTCTTTCCTGGATAACATCCTTTCTGTTTTCTTTCTTTTATTTTCTTCCACCTTTTCAAAATTTCTCTTTCCTTTCTCCCCAGCTTGGGCGTTTGCCTTCCTTTTGTTCTTTTCCCCTCATTTTCCCCCTCTTTGACTACCCACTGGCCAGGTCACTGGCTGGACTATCTTCACCATGAAGTGGGAGGCCAGCAAAGAGCTTCCAGAACTGCAAGCAGAGCTTGGCTCTGCCCAGGGGCCGCCTGGCAGGCTCCTCTACTCCATCTCTTCATGACTTCGATTTCTCCTTGGAACCCTTCTTTGTTTTTAGAGCATCTCTCAGGGAGAGGTGGAGAAAGATGACCACCGTGTCCCGCCAGTCTCAGCCTCCCAACTCAAGGAGAAGAGAAGGGGAAGGAGAAGGAGAGAGGAAGGAGGGAGGAAAGAAAAGAAGAGGAACTATTACAAGCCAGCTCACAAGAAACCCTGGCTAGGCTGCCAGGGCCTGGAGATGCTGGGAGCTGAGGGTCAGTTGGGGGCACCCCACCCCCACATTCTTCTGCCTGATTGTCCTGACACTGAAGCTGCCGGAGCTAGGAGTCTCCTCCTGGACAAGTACACTCAAGTTTGAGAAAGGTAGCGATGAATGGAGGGTGGGGGGGATGGGAGAGTGAGAGAGAGAGAGGTAGGTAGGTGAGAGGGAGACAGGGAGAGGGAGAGAACAGAGAAAACAACACAACACAAACCCCTCTAAAACTGCCTGCCAATTATTCTCCCAGTCCAGGGCAAGAGGGTGACCAGGGAGTGGAATGGCTAGAGCCAGGGCTGGGGGCTGTGGATTGATGACCTCAGAAGGAGGAGGTGGAAGAAAGGAAGACAGGTGATGGGCACCAGGGAAAGTAGGAAGGCAGGTAGAGGGATAAGTATTGGTGACATAAGGCAGAAGAGGGAAACTGGAGGCTTTAAAACGCTGGAAAATGAGGGGAAGAGGAATAACGAAAGGGGGGGCCTGGAGAAGACAGCGCAGTCTCCAAAATGGGACCTGAGCGCAGGGGGCCAGGGCCGCGCCGGGACAGGACGGCAGAGGTTTAGGACGGGGAGCCCCGAGCTGGGACAGGAGCCGGGCGCCGGTACTCACGGTGCATCGCGGAGAAGGGGTCTGCTTTGCAGTGCATATCCATGGGGAGGCAGAGGAGCGGGAGCAGCGCGGCCGCCGCCGCCGTGTCGCCTCTCAAACTCAACTTCAGGACTTGAGGAGAAAAGGGAGGGACGTTGGGGAGGGGGGCGAGGTAAGCGGGCACCCAGCTGTGGCGGGGCGGGCGGGGGACGCCGCGGTGAGCTCCCCGCGGGGACGCTTCCTGGGCGGATCGGAGCTTGCAACCGCAGCGACCGCAACTTCCCACCGTCGGGGCGCGGGGCTGGGCGGTCAGCAGAGCGGCCCCGGGGCGGCGGGCCGGGCCGGGGGGATCTGGGGGCGCATGGCGCGCGCGGCAGCTGAGGCTACGGCTGAGGCTGGGAGGGGGGACGTGGCTCGCTCACTGCCCTGGAACTCGGTCTTCCGAGAGGCGGCGGTCGGAGAGGGCGAGGAGCTGGGGCGGCCCGAGGGCGCCGGGAGGGGAGCCGGGCCGCTCCAAGTGCCGGTGAGTTGGCGAAGTTGGCAGAGAAGTAACAATCCTCGGGATGTCCGAGCGGGAGCCTCCGGGAGGGGAGAGCGCGAGCTGGGCCCCCGCCCCCGGAAAAGGCAGGCGCACGCCGCGGCGGCCGAAGGGCCGGGAGGGAGGGAGGGAGCCGAGCAGCGCCGGCAGCACTGGGCTGGCCCCAGGTGGGTTGCGGCTGCGAGAAGACTCGGCCTGAGACTGGAGCCTCCGCTCCCGGTGTGTGTCTCTCTAAAAGCTGCAAAGCCCCCTCCAGACCCCCTCCTCCTCCCCGCGCTGGGAGATGGATGACTTGTCAGACAAAGGCAATAGATTCCACCACTCTGTGATTCGCCAGCGCCGGAGCCCCGAGCTTTGGCGAGGAGGGCCCCGCGCCTGTCACTCCGGTGCCGGCGAGGGGAGGGTAGGGGAGGGGGAAACGGGAGGGAGGGAGGAAGCAGCGGGCGAAGGAAGAGGGAGGGAGGGGAGCGGGCCAGGGGGAGGGGAAAGGGGAGCCCGGGATTAAAACTACACTGAGAAACGAAACTCGCCGATAAGATAAACGTTAGATAAGGATAAAGAGCGGCCAGTCTAATGAATATTCAGGCAACGACCGAGTGCCGCGGAGCGCGCCGCTCTCGGAAGCCAGGCTCACAGTCCCAACTCACCTAGCCCTGCCATCCACCGGCCAGTGCCCGCGTGGGCCACGCGGCCCGGAGCCCAGTCCGCATCCCTAGTCTTAACCCCCCTCCTCTCAGCTCTGAGTTCCCTTCCGTTCCTTCCTGAGTCTTCCTTCCTCTCTCTGGTCCTTCCCTTTCGCCTTTCCCTCCTGAGGTGCCTCCCCACCCACGCGCCCCCAATTCTCATTCAGGGGCAAAGTGCCCGGCAGTTTGTCCTCTCTCATTCCACGCGCAGCTGCGCGGAGGACTTCCCTCGTCCCCTTGGCCATAAGAGTCTGGGTAGCCCAGAACGCTCGGTTTAGGATGGAGCTGGAGACCTCCAGCGAGGACCCACCTGCCTCAGTGGGACCCAGCGGACGGTGGGAGAGCCAGGGACTTGGCTTCTGGACCCTCGGGTGGCCTGGGAGAAGGGCTTGGGGAGGGAGACAGTGCAGAGCGACTGGTCGCTGGCGGCAGAGGACGCGGGAGCCGAGGTTTGCTCTCCCCGGCTGGAGAGAAGAGGCTGCGAACGAGGCTGAGCGCCGCCCGCTGCCAGCTTGACGGATCCCGAGCTAGCAGCGCAGGAGGCGCAGCGCGCTCGGCCGGGCCCCGCTCTTGCCGGAGCCGCTGGCCCAGCCTCCGCAGCCTTCGTCCGCGCTCGCTCGGGTCCCCTAGTACGCACCAGGCAGGAGAAGCCCTTTGTCTCCTAACTGGTTAAGTACAGAATATCCGGGAGATCTTTATGAAATATTTTCCCTCGTCTCATAAATCATCTTGGCACTTCAGCTGATGTTTTAACTCTCTCTCCCTCATTCTCCCTCCCCCCCCCCTTCCCTGGGTCTGCGAAAGGGCGGCTCAGGGAAGCCCGCGCTCCGCTCTTGCTGCTTGGTCTCGGGGCGCCTCTGGCCCCTGACTGCAGACCCTGGCGTCCGCGAAAGAGCCGCAGCCTCACAACGCCGTCCCGCTGGCCAGTGCCCAGGCAGCAGCTAGGCTGGGGGACACACCACCCCACTCAGCCAGGAGACTTCTACTGGGCCTCTTGCACCCAGGGGGTGGGGGGGGGGTGTTCAGAATGCCCTTAATCCTCGGGCGGGGATCCAGCCAGGCTCAATCCTATAGGATTCTGAACCACCCACTCCTTAGGGGGCTGACTCAGCTGGACATTTGCCCTCCCCCTTCCTGGATCCTCCGGAGCCTAATCTGCTTAATCCACCTGCGGAGTAACTTTTGGGAGGGAAAAACAAAAAACAAAAAAACAAACTTCTCTCCAGCCCCCTCCCTCCCAACCCTCACTCCCTCTTCCCGTGGGCGGCCAGGCTAGTTCCCTGGGGCTGGAGGGTGAAGGCGCAGGGTCTAGCCCCGAAGGTCAGTCTCTTCCTCTAGAGACCTGCAGATGGCGCTCCCGGGTTTGCTTTGGCCTCCCAACCCCACGTACACGCACTAACTTTGTGTGGGGAGCGGGGAAAAAAAAGAAAACACAGTCCGGGCAGCCTAAGGGAAAGGCTCCCAGGCTTGGGAGAAAGGAGCTTTCAGGTTGTATTACCTGGTACAGCCTTGGGCTTCCTTCAGGAAGGTAATTAACCAAGACTGGGTGGAGGGAAAGGCACAGGGGAAGGATCCTTATTAAAAGGAGCTCAGAACTCAAGGACCCCTTTGCCCCCAGGTTTCCCTACATTGGTCCAGAAAGTTAAGTCTTGGGGAGTCGGAACTACAGGAGGAATAAGACTGTAGACAGTCCCCCCCCACACACACATAGACTCATTGATTTTTCCAGACCCAGCTAGACATATCTCTATGTTACACATACTATGAAGAAGTGTGGATGCAGACAACAGGCATTTCCATGTATTGGGCAAGAGGGATGTCACATTTTGTGAAAGGGGAACTTAATGCACAAGTGTGCTACAAGTTATACTCGCACACCTATCTTTCCCATGTACCCCCCAAGGAGTGAAGACCCTTCCGTGACAGTTCACTTCCCAGATGGCCTCTGAGGTCCCAGAATCACTCCCACCCTGGTCACCCCCACTTCCTGGGACCCCTTCTCCAGCATTGCACTAGTTGGACACTCATCCTCCCTCCAATCCAGCCCCTGGCAGCTTCCTCCTCAGCTCCAGCCCATTCGTGGGTCTAGAAAGTTAAAGAGCAATGATCCCTGATGATTAGAAATGCTTTTAGCCCAGGCTCTTCCTTCTCCTTTGGCTCCGGAGCTGGCCTATAGATTTCTCTCCAGGCACTGGCCTCTCCCTCTGATGTTCCCCTTCCTGTTCTTCCCATTCTTTTTCTATAGAGTCTAGTAGAGGAGGAAAAAAAAAAAAAAAAAAAAGCAAGAAAGGGGAAAAGGGAAGAAGAAAGTAGAGGAAAGAGGAAAAGAAAGAGAAATAAAGAAAACAACCCAACCCCAAACACAACCCGGGCTCCGACCTGTCAGGGTTGGTTGCTTTTCCCGTCTGCCTCTAAATGAACCTTTTCTCTCTGGTGTTTTCAAAGCGGCCCTTCCACCCCCCAACCTAGGGGCATTTACACTTCAAACAAGGCGCCCGCCTCCCTGCGGAAATTTAAAGGCAAATAAACTTTTGGGGAGTTGCTCTGATACCCATCTCGGGATTTGCTTCATTAGCCGCCTCTGTGCATCTGATCTGCCCAATAAATCTTCCTTGTGGATCTCCGTTCCTTCGCCTTCTCCGCTCCCTTCCCTGCCAGGCTCTCCCACTGCCCCAACCCTTGCCTCCTTTCTGGCGGCTGAGTTGCAGCTGGCCTGACTCTCACAGTCCAGGATCTGCTCCCCCGGGGTGTAGGTGTGGGAGAAGCAGGACCCCCCTTGACTTCCTCCCCTGCACCCCAAGTGGACAAACGCACAGGCATCCCAAGCCAAGCATGACTAGTGCTCCGAGCTACCAGATGCGTTTCTGGACAGACTGTGCATGAAGTGAAGTGCTCGTGTAGACCCTGTCCGCTTCCCCCACTTACACCAGCTCTCTTCTCCACCCTTCTGCTCCTTTTCTGGTTTCCCGTTCCCTGGCCCAGTGCTTCCTGTCGGGGTGAGGAAAGGCAAAGGGGTGGCTACCTCTTGGCTGTAGGCAGAGCCCTGACCCAGAGCCCAGACTCACCCCTCACTGCACCTCCACCCCGACCTGGAGCAGTTTGGGCAGGCAGCTGGGCCCTAGGAGGCTAGGGGCAGCCAGGGAGCTTCCCAGCCGGGCTCCTCCCCCTTGGCCTGGGCTTGTCCTCCTCCTTCCACTCCTTCCACCTCCTGGGGAGCGGCAAAGGGAGCCAGGGCCAGGCCTCTGAGGGAGGGGATTAGAAATTCCGAAATTAAATGTATCTCCCTAGGAAATGCTCCCCACTGCGCGGACCAAATTAAACGCATTAAAGTTCAGGGGGGAAAAAAAGCTGTTTAGAACCAAGGGGGGAGAAAACTAGTCCGAAGGGATGAGAAGCAGAAACGGAGGAGGGAAGAGGGGAAGGTAGAGCAGAGCAGCAGCTTCGCCGCCGAGCTCCTTTCCTGAATTAGTCCCGGTTTTGGAAGTCACCGCCACCAGAAAAAAAGAAAAAAGCAAAGAGAAAAAAAGTTCGTTGACAATCCAAGTGTGGGACGGCCGCGGCCCACTCGCCCTCTGGGTCCTGGCGCAGCCCGGGGCGCCACTCTCCGCGACCAGAAACCAGGCCTCCCGCGCGCGCACCCGGCCCCCTCTCCAGCTAGGCCTGACCCGCTCCCGCCCGGCCCTCTCCCCTCCTCCTCCCCATTCTCTCCCCGCCCCTCCCCCTTCCTAGCCCTCTGGTCACGTTGGAGGATGGCTTTTTTTTTTTTTTTTTTTTTTGGAAGAGCTTCTGGTACAATATGGAGCACCATGGGCTGCAATTTCACACTCCACGGCACATTCCCCC